GGCTGCGGCTGCACAGCAATCCGCAGCGGCGATGTCCGCAGGCCTCGCTGCACCTGCTCAGGTGAGTCCATGTTTCTTGCAAATACGCCTCGCAATATATTTACGAAATGACATACAATTAAAAAGAATATTCGAAATTCATGCTAGCAGTGCAATTAGGTACATCTTGCAAATTTCGTGTAGCTGTCAAGTTTAATACAGAAATTCAATCGAACTTCGACAGGAATTTTTATGAGTTATTTTCTGCATAATCGCACAGATTAGTCTCCGTGCATCTGCCTTGTTTCGTGGTAGCGTCACGAAAAAACGAGAGTAGGGTCGAATGAAAAATTTGCATCGAAGGGAATAGTCGGCAGGGCTTAGTTGAAATGGTCAACGACGTTCCGAGGACGGCGATGACGGTGCCGTTTCGTCCAAGGGGCGATAACGCGACGCGTTGGAATTCTTCGCTCGTGCTCGCCGGTACGCCAATAATAGTCGGCTGTATCGCGTCGCTGCGTCGTTCCAGACGCGTCGGCCATTCAGCCGTTGAATGCAGAAATAACTAGCTATCTGTTTGTCTCCCGTAGCCAGCTGCGGAAATTCATACACAGACCACGGTCTCCGGTTTCTGTTTGCGAAGCTACCCGGGGGCCCCTTTGTTGCGACAACGAATGAAACGTACCTACGCTCGTCCTCCTCCACCTCCATCCCAACCTCATCCTCTCCCTCCTCTTCCTCTTTCTTTCTTTCTCCTCTCGTTCCCGTCGTTTCTCTCATCACCGATCTGTTTCCCTATTTCTGCGACGTTTCCTTTTCAGTCGGGACCCTGTGGACCTATTCGTGGCCATTTTATTGGGGTGCCATAGATTCGATCGGGTCTTCTTCGCTGGCAGACTTGATTACGAGACCTGTGTAAAATTTGGGACCTGTGAAACAATGGGGGATCATCGGGAACAGCGAGAAAAGTCGGGCAGATGGGATTATGTAACCGAATATAAATACTTGCCGATTTGACAGTATAAAGGAACTGTTTCTAAAGGTATATCAGATCAGTGACAAGCAGTAGTCAATGAACTCTATATTCATCTGATTGTTCAGACGAGAACAATGTCTCTTCCAAAACTTAGATCAGACTCTTTCCAGTTGCTTAAAACTGTCAAGTTCGAAAATATATTAGAAACCGATCGGTTTCTCCGAAATCCTAAACTTTCTAAGCCCTCCGCGTTCTCGTGAAATGGAGCGATAGTCTCACTTCATCGTGACGAACATCACGTACGAATAATGTTAGCACAGTTTTCGACGTTCTCCACTGAACGCTGGCGCCATACTTTTGAATGGTGCGAACAAACGCGCCTGCTTTCGCGAAAAAAGACGCAACGTGCGTTGAATTCGGTCGAAACGCGAGCTGACGCGTGCCTTCCGCTCAACAATGCTTAGTTAAAATTCCAAAGCAACCGTATCCGCTTTGTTGCAATCTCTCGAAACGGTTATTCTGTCAGTGTATCGTTCCGTATCGCTGCCACTTGTGTCGAGGAAGAAAAACGGAATTCTGTCTATCGTCTCTCACAGAACTGACACGGAAATTATAGCGTGTCGATTTCACCTTAACGAATCGTAAACGAGAACGCTGTTGTGAAAAGAAAGATAGCTATTTACACTAGGATTTGTTCTAAACAGGTTCTCCGAGCGAACTTTCTGCGAACTTTGAAGAAAGTAGAATACGAAATTACTTGTGCGTGTCGTTTTAGAGTTGAAAGCGAATGGACCGAACTGGGTAATATCTTAGAATGTCCGAATCCCAAATTTCTAAATTCCCTTGAAACACTGTACGATGAGTGGTCGTTGTCCAGGCAGGACTTAATTATCCTACACCGACACGGTGTCACCGTTCAACCGTACAATAACGTCGTACCGTTTCTCTTCTGTTTTTCATTCACAAAAGCATCCATTCTTCGCGCTCTGCCATGTGTCGTCGACGATGAAAAGAGACGAACGGAACGGAGCACGAAGTGACAGAGAACGTACAAGTGGATAGAGTGAAATGTCTTTTGCTAGGAGCGCACTTTATTTTCCAAATGGCTCCTCTCTCTGTTCCCGGGGCCAGAAAGGTTGGCGAGTCTGAGCGAGAAAGTCAACCGAAGCCATTGTTGCATCGGCTCGTCGATATTTCTCCTGGTCCGCGGAGATTCCTCTATGAAGTCGATTTTGTTCCACCGTGAATTTATACCCGTGCTGTCCCCGAAACTCTAGTTCGAACAAACTTTCGCCAATAATCTCGACACTGGCTACAATGCCTCGCAAAAGTACTCGCCGGCTTGATATACTGACTGAAAGAGATTGAAGGGATCAGAGGAACGTGCATTTTATTTTCTACCTAGAAATTCGGAAATTGAGATTTGTGTTCTTTGGAATATTTAATTCTGCAATACTGGAATTTTGAAAATTTTCAAAAAAATCGGACTACCTACCTATTTATTTAGCACTCCAATTATTGATAGTACAATATCCCAGCGGTTCTCGGCATAGCAGCAACATCTCGTGACCGGAGTTTAATTTCCGGATCCCTCGAACGAAGTCCCGCAGGACGGCGTGGCCGATTCGCGAGACACGCTGGCGGATTTTGAGACGAGAGGAACCGAGCGGTAATCAATTGGACGTAGCCAAGAGGAGAGACGAGCGAGGCGGCTAAGACTGCGTGTAAATCATCCGGACAAAGCCGCTTAACGATCCGACAAAGGGTCCCGCGCGCGATCCTCGTCCACGAATTATAGAATCGGGAATACCCGCCCTCCTCCTCGCCCTTTCTTCTACTCTTTTTTCCTTTTACTGAAATGTCCGTGGCAGTTTCACGCGGCGTATCGTACGCCTGCGACCGAATATTACGAAATTTATAGCCATTGGCAGCTTTGTCCTCCGGATAGAACAAATCTTCGACCTCGGATCCCTGTCGCGGATCCAACGATTTCGCGAGTCGTCCTTGGAACCGAGACGAATCGCTCTCTTTCTTTTTCCTGCCGCCGTTGAAATAGGGGATCGCGTTCTTTTCTTTTCTTCGTTTGTCCGACATTTTTGTCCTCGTTCGCTCCTTTTTTTTCATGCGAATCGATTGGTAAAGGGATCGGGGAATTAGGAGGGAATTAGGAAAATTTTGCCCTGTAGTCCGGTTGATAATTTATTTAATCTTTTGATCTAAAGAAGTAGACATTTAATACCACCTCAAAATGTTGCACCCTACACAGTCTGAAGGCAACTTTGTCATTGTAATGTTGCAGGTGGTAAGCTCGATGGACGCCATGAAATACTCGATGGAAGCGGACAAGTATCGCGCGGCGTACATGCCACCTAGCACACTAGCGATGAGTATGTATTCCGACCCGAAGTACCTGGACTCGAACCCGAAGTCGTATCTGGATCGCAGCTACCTAGACTCGGCGAAGGCGTACTTCGAACAGTCGAAGTTGTACATGGACCAGAAGCCGGCGATATCCGACTATAATAGACCTAGCTACGAGCACAAACTCTACGACGAGTCCAGCCCAGGGAGCGTGGTGGGCGGTGGTGGACCCACGAGGTCGCCAGCCGCGGAGTCACCAGATATGAGCAAACAGCACGAACGAACCGAGCAAGGTTCCTCCAGCGCCAGTTCAACCTCCACTTCGTCGGCTGCTAGTCCTGGAGCCAGTTTACCAGCGTATTATCCTGGTCCAGTGCAAACGAGCGGTCTTCTAGGACCCCAGATGAGTCAGTACAGCGGATACCAAACTGCTCCTCCACCTGGAAACGAATCCTTCAGGCGACCGCTCACTGTCATCTTCTGACCCGATAGAACGTAGCTCTGATCCATCTTTGAGCAACAGTTGTCCTGAACTTAGCCCGAGAGTAGTTCTAAAGACGTTTGATGGTGGAACGGATGTTGGTGTTGTTGAGATGCAGAAGGTTCAGTGAAAGCTTCGCAATTTTTCAGAAGAGAATTTGGTGGATGAAGACAGGAAGGAAACTTGTTGAAACTTTTATGGATGTCTTTTCTGATCTTCTGGACAATTTCATCCAAAATACGAAGCCATGGTCCAACATATTTTCAATCATTTTTTAAATCAATGAACTCAAGAACTTTAAATGAACTACACAGATTACTAGCATCATTCTTTGATCAGAGTCTTTGAAGTCACAATTTCCAAAGTAAATGAATTTAAGATCCACCAGCGTAAAGTCCCAGAACCACGAGAACCAGATCTCTCGACGTACACCACGAAGCAACCACGAAGAGACCAAACCATCCCGAAGGAACATGTCCACCTGAGGATGTGGACGAGGCCAGCAACGCTGGTGCAGGTCGTTGAAAGCGACAACGAACGTCGATACTCTCCGCGTTCTAACCATCCGCGAATCGCGTCGAGCTGATCGACGCGGCGATTATTTATCAAACATAGTTTCCCGTCGCTCCAGACGGCATAACGAAGAACTGTACATAGTCCCTGTGTAAATAGTGTAGCAAGGATTATTATCACCGTACGACGCGACGCTCGAAAACGGTTTTCCTTCGTCCTTCTTCCCGACCCTCCACCTCATCCTGGATCCACGAAACCGTGTTCAAGGAGGAGCACGATGTTCCGGCACCTTCCCTTCCTTCGCGGTGCTGCTTCGACCACAGGAAGCACAGTAAGTCGATACATTCTACATTCACTTTTATGCTTGTAACGAATGTGAATTTCATTTAAAATTCGGTTCTATGAGTTCGTGGCTTGATGCACCTGGTGCGTTGTATATTTTATACACGACGCACGCGATGCGTTCTGTATTAGTCGACGCATCAAGGTACTTCAGCAGTCCGAGATTTGGCTAATGCGATGTAAGAGATACGGTCTCGATTGGTCAGAATAGAAAAGGAATACTCATTTGCGGCGGTAGGAGCAATCGGCTCGATCACACGCACCAATGAGTCCAAAGGACATTCGACAAACGTGTCGAGGTAGTGTGAATCGTGCGATGCAATTATTAACCTATTCGCCACACCCCCTTACCTCTAGATTCCCCTAGCCAAATCTCGGATAACGAACGGTATCTATATAATATATAAGACATGTAACATATTGGATATGTGTATAGTATCGATAATTTATTTTTCCTAAATTAAACGAATATGACACTTGACACGAGTGTAACTCGTATTTCTTGCACTTGTATAATTTGCACGGGTAAAACTCGATGTTACGAAGCAAGAGGTTAATCTCGATAATTTAAGTAGCTTGTTATTATTCTAATTTGTTGCAAGCATACGACTTACGATCACGGTAAAAGTCTCAGTCCTTTCTGACCACTCAAAGTAGCAGGGCGATGATGTTCGAACCAAAAGTGAAAAGAAAAAGGAGAACGTGTTTTTTCGTGCGGTCGTTCGATTCGTAATCGCTGTACATAGTTCCCTGAATCCCGTTGGAAGAATATTTTGCGTCCCATTTCGCTATTTTTCCGATTCTCGTACTTTCAACGCGAACGATCGTCCGTCTCGACTTCGTCCCCTGTCCTTCGAGACGACGACGCTCGTTTCCGCGACCGTAGCGTTTCTGAGGGGTCGAATCATCCTCCGTTCTCGATACTTAGCTATTTATTATCGACATTCCTTTCTATTTTCCGTTCTACAAGTTGATCGAGTATCAAGATCATCGAGAATCGCGTTGAAGTATCCTTCCCCTTCGTTATTCTTTCTTTTTCCTTCGTCTCTGTTCTCGTTTCACGAGAGTACGTAGTACTCGCACGGTTGTTTTTGTTCGTACGTGTCGTTTTGTTAATCTATTTCGCGAGAATGAGAGAAAGAGAGCTTTTACGGACGTTTCGCGAGAGGAAAGAAGACTACAGAGATTATATCGAGTGCGGACGAGACGCGGAAGGGTAGCTCTCGCGAAACGTCCACGATCCGCTGTAAGACGTGTAATCTTTGTATTTGTATCGTTACGATAAATCTTAAATCTGTACCCGATCTTTCGAGTATTACGAAGTTTCAAGCGGCAGAAGAAGTAACCTATAAATATTGTACTGTAAGTGAGAAAGCAAAATAAACGTTAAGTATTATCCTTCGAAAAGTGATTGAACGTCTAATCGCTCGTTCCTCTGAACATCCTCCTCCTTAGTTAACTCGGCAGCGTGTAGTACCAAAATTCCTCTGAAAATATTAAATATATATTATGAAATCACACGGTTTAAAAAAAAGAACAAGGTTCATGGGATACGGTAGCAGGCACATCATCCTCTGAAAGATAACAAGGCACCTCTGGCAAGAATAGTGATCAATCGACTTATGCACGCCTCTAACCAGGACAAACCGACAATTTTCACCATCGTTATCCACTCGAGGTCCCCCGCTATTGTTTCTGATCTCCGAAGGGCCATTATGTTGTCGTTTACTCGCGGCGAAGGGACGACACACGCTGGCTTGGTAACCCACGGAGCTGCTGGATGAGAAGGTGGCTACCTTCTCATTAAATCCATTATATCGAGTGAGCAACGATGAAGTGGAGACGAACGGGGGCCGTCAGTTGAGTCTCTTCTCGGTTAGACAGATCGTTTAGGTGGAATCTAAATCATCCTGCGGGGATCCTGAACGGACGTTCAACCGGACTGCACCGTTCCTGCCAACCTCTCACGACTTCATTAGTACCTGCTGACTTTGGAATGCCCCGTTTAGAGAACCGCTTTTGACCGAGGTGTTGGACGCTTGTTTTTTCTGCCTTTCCGGATTTATTACTGGACAGTTGCTGCCAGTACAGCGTGCTCGTAAATAAGGAGTCAAAATCTCTGCCATAGCTCCTTTCTATACGTCTAATAGTCAGAAACATCTTGCAACATCGAACGATGATCATTAAAATCGAGAAACCACAGCCTACTCATCGTCCAGCTTTTTTATCCGTAGATCGATGCTAATTGTACATAATAGAAATTTGGCTAGCAAGGTTGAAGGTAAACGAAGGAATAATTTAATTACTAATTATACGTCCTGTCAGTCGGATCGAACCGACAGGAGGTCGCTCGCGTCTCTTCATCATCGTTCAAAAGACGCTACAGACGTTTTCTCATTAAATTCATTATAGAGCGACGAGCAATCTGCTACGGGCTGAACGAGTGGCTTTCGCCGGTTGCCTTGAATCACTTAACCGGAATGTAAATCGGTCGTATAGCTAGATGTTCCTCCTCCACCCCCATGGCTTCATTAGCGTGGCTCAGTCGACGGAATATTCGACGCTGTCTCTCGTGTATACCGTATCTCGCTGTTTACTCCGCTGACTCTACTTCCGGTCGATGATTTTTCTGCACGGGGATCCGAACGTTTAAAGGATTAATTACAATTTCGAGGGAATGTGGGTTGCTCCGTTGACTCGCGGTTTCCGAATAGGCCTCATCGCCACGTTTACGCGAAACGTAATTAAAATACATTGGTAGCAAATTGAAAGGAACAACTTCCGTTTGTGTAAACTTCCTGCGGAAATTTCAAGTGTTCCTGAAACGGAGAATTCTGAAAATGTTGAATCAGCTGTGATTTCATACTTTCAAACATGTGATCTCTGAATTATTCAAACAGGAATAATTTATTCTGATATAATACCGTAGTTAAATTTCTTTGACATTTTGTGAGGAGCTGGGTTTAAGACCAATAACATTGGTTATAAGTAAAACGGGTATTTATCACAGTCACGAGTTAAAGATCGAAGCCGCAATTATCGATCCAGACTGAAACAAATGAAAATGCAAGGGATTCTAGCGGTTCTGCACGCCTGCTCGCCGTACCATGACCTACGCCGTATACAACGATTAAAAATCGACCCCAGATTGGCAAAGTATTTTCATCCGGTGCTGGAGCAGCCAACGCGATTAACAATGGCGCGCCCCTTTTTCTCGCGTAATTCCTTGATTGGCGATTCGCGGTGGCTCGAGTACGCGTTTTACACCAACGATCTCGATCCCACCGGTATAATTAATCGTCGATTATTGTTCGAAAAGGTTGACGAGAACTTCCAGCTAGCACTCGAGGCTCGAGCCGATCGTTTTCTTCCTTTTCGCAATTTCTTTCAACCCCACGTGTTGGCAGACATTACATCCACTCTAGATCGCTGTCGATTTTTATTTTGCGAACGAGAGCTGATTAAGCCGGATGTTTTTTTATTGTCTGATTACATTAGCTTCCCATATTGGGAGGGTATTTAACACTAAAACTACCAAAATGACCGCTCCACAAGTTTCTTATTATAAGGAACACATTTTGTTGAAATACATGTCTTGTAATCAGAATTGATTTTCATCAACATAAAGAATAAATGTGTGAACTAATTTATGTTTCGTCGTTTGTTTATTTATTTTTTAACTTCATTTTTAATTTTATGTTGAGTACACATTATGTGCCGGTAGATTTAGTGTTAACGAAGCAAAATGAATGTTAAAGCAAAGCACATGAATGTTAAATCGATTTTATAAGGTTGACTACTATGTTTCGATATAAGGAACTTTATGTTTTATAACTAAAAAATAGTATAATAAGAGTCGTAAGTACATCATTGAAATGATATTGAACCATAAATAATTCAGAAACGTTTAACGGGGGGCATTAAATTTCGAAATGGCGTATTAACGTCGAGACCGAGAGCGAAGTGTTTTTATCTTTCTGGCTGATTTGCATACGCCTGCATCGGTGTTCGCGTGCGAGTATGTTGAACTTGCAGTTGACGAAGGCGATGCCCGGGGCACGTGCGTGACAATTCGAGTTAAGTAAAGAACCGTGAACCATCCGTGAAAAAGGGTGTCAATGGCCGCGAATTTCAACGTCCACCTGATTCAAAAGGAAATCCCATTATTCGCTGACAGAACAAAAAATCGGCCCCGATTGAAATTCCCTGCTTTTGTGTGAAATTTCACCGTGCAACGCTTTTTAACCACGCCGTTCTTCTGCCCGCTTTTGATTCCTTTATCGTAACACAAGGAAATTGTATTTCTTGGAAGCTATTCAATTAGTATTTCTTACTCGATGTCGAACAATCTGATCTTCTTGCACGATGATTGCCGTAATTATAAATCCCGAAGAAAATGAAACGTCCTCGTTAATTAAAAAATTATTAAACGATTCGTTCGACAAACGAGTCGTATCAAAATGGATTATCTCGAAACGCGTACAGTAGAACTAGGTCAATCTGAATCGAGTCAATTTGAATTAAGTTTAATTGATTCATGTCACGCGTTCAATTTAAACGCGTCAAGTGCATCAAATTCAATTTGATCAGACTGGCGAGTCGAATTGCTGTAAGTCAAGTTAAATCAGAACGAATGCAGTCAAATTTCATCGAGTTGGAAGATATAATTGAAAAGGTTTCAGGGGTTTGAGGGGTTGATCTTGCGACACTTTTTCATGGAAGCAGCTAGTGAATTTTTCCACGCGGCAGGCGATACACCGGCTGGATAAAACGTAGGAGCTTTGTTGCCGGGAATTCCAGGCCATCGAGAAGCCTGCACGCTGGTTTCGGCGTATGTAAATTAGCCGGTGGTCTATTCACACCCGTACACCTGGTCGTGGCCTCCCGCTGCACTGACCACAGTGTAGTGTACCTATATGTGCCGATGGGACCGCTTCGAAATTACTACTCGATTCGAATTTCAAACCTATTCCAAATTTTCACATTTACAAATTCCTAAATTCTCAAACTCTCAAATACTCTAGCTCTAAATTTACCAAATACCAAATTCCGAAGTCCACAAACTCCCAAAGTCCACAAGCTCCCAAAGTCCACAAATTCCCAAATCCTCAAATCCCCAAATTCCCAAAAAATGCAAGACCTCTAATGTCAGAACAGCGGCAGAATTCCATTAAAATTAATAAGAAAGAAGACGAATTTGATGGTTGCACAATCCCCGATTCGCTTCGCCTCGAAAAAAGATCTTTAATCCTCGGACACAATGAGTCCCGTTCTCCAGCGACTAGAATCAATTCCATCGATCGTATCGAATGAAATCTATCGCTACCTAGGTGGGTCCTTTATCCATACACACGTGTCGTATTTAACCATGAATCCAAAAGTTGTGTCCATGGGTGAACCTGCTGCATTGTGCAGCTGCATTCCATAGTGGAAGGTAGTCCTCGAGCCTCTACTTTTTGATACTCCACCGTCCTTCCATATCTTAATTCGGTGTCCATTTAGATGGAAATTAATGCTTCGAAAAAAAATTCGGCCGCTGGATTTACGAGGCGATTAGGTGCGTTTTTATCGGGTTGGAAGCTGCGCCTCGTGTTATTTTAACGGGCGGGTTAACGCGCGGAAAAATAAGATTAATATTATATCGGCACGATGGTTTCTCGATGATTTCGACTTAAAATATTCGATTCAAATTATTCCAGTTTATCGGAGGGCTAATTTTATTTTTCCATTCGATTTCGGTGGCAAATCGAGTCGGTTTATATTTTGTTAAATTAATATTACTTAGGTCGGTTTGTAAAACATCCTCGGTTCACACGGAACATACAGGACTCTCCGCCTGTCAGATTGATTATTGATTCCCTGTCGCATAAACGATCGATTCTCGAGTCGATTACCAAGGGCCAGTGACTCATCCTCGATCCTTCGAGGGATGAAGGATTGAAAAGTAGGGATCGCACGTGACCCTCCCTGGCTCGATCAACTCGAAATAACTTGAGAATCGTGTCTAATTCGTGAAAGGGTGATCAACGATTCGAGGTCCACTCTTTAAATCGAAACATTTCTATATTTCTAAAAGCCTTCTAAATTGATGGACAGTTCATTTAATAGATTAGTAATGTATTCGGTATTATTTAATATGTGCAAAATACATATTGTGTCATGAAACGTTCTGTTTGGCATAATGGGGTTCTTTGTCATACTGGGATTGAACAACAAGATAGAAACACTTGCAACAGATGCACGTTTCTTTCATTAACGTTCGATTCTAATTGTAAACAACCGTCATTGTTGTATCTATTGTATCATAAATAAAGGAGGGTAGCCATAATTAGATAGTCGATTATGCTAATTAGATCATTATTATAATTTGACGTGTATT